CATACGAGTACATACGAGTACATACGAGTACATACGAGTACATACGAGTACATATGAGTACATACGAGTAACATACGAATACATACGAGTAACATACGTTGCGCGCCAAATAAACGCAGATTACGAGGATATTGCACGCAATAAATGCTATCCTAAGAATTCTGGGGCAAATTCCTTTATTAATATCAATTAACCCAGTGAAATCAAGCAATCCTGAAAATTTGAGGTCAAAAGCTTAAATCCAGCTTGAGATATCTTTTCTCAAAGGCAAAAATAACTCGTTTTGAGAAAACGAGCTTTAAACTTACAATGAGAGATGCTTCTCGAAATAAAACTTCAATACCTTAAGATTCAAATTCCGGTAAAAACAAAAAATTCCATACTTCTACAGAATTTTAGGTAAAATCCCCTTTAATGAGCCCACTGATCAGATGACCAGTAATGACAGCTCCAATCCCGTTTTTTCGGCAGCCCACTGCAGGCTGGTCGCTCAGCAATCCAGCAAGTAAAAATGGTATCCTTTGGAACAAGAGATCGTGAAGAACTTCAGGTGATGAATATCGAGGAAGAAATCACGCGAAGATATGGGAACGATATTATGCGAAGCAGAGAAGGTTCTGGGAATCGAAGTAGAATGGATGAGAGAGGGAACGAAAAACTCGCCGCAACGTTTCTCCTTCGCATCGCGTTCCAATCGATCACAAGCTGCGTGTGCTCTTGAAAAGGAAACCACTGCTACGAATGCTATACGATTTTTGAAAAACACGTGATACATGCGAATAAATTGAATTTAAAAACTACGCGCATTGGTGTTATTTACCTAGGAAGACGAATAATGCGCCTCAGACATATTATTTGTCTAGCAAAAACGCGACATAGGACGCATTAAACTTCACACGAACTCAACAATTTTATGACAAGGGTGCATTTAACTTCTCAGAAGTATAATTCTTCAAGTTAAATATGAGATACAAAAAAGACACTCTTCCCTAAAATGGGAATCTGCTCAATTTGTCATTAAGCGACCAACACTCTCTCTCACAAGAACTTTATTTGTGAAAAAATATTTGGCTTCACACTAGAGCTTGTAAGTATAATCTAAGTGCACTTGCACTACTTTGAGTGTGAAGGGGTAAAATTTACTTACTAGTTGGACTTTACTTAGTGACCATGGAAACTTTCGTAGATCAAAGAAGGCGAAGTGTGCTGCCAAGTATGGTCTACATCACACTTGCGAACACACTTGACCAATAGGAAATGAAAGCAACTGAAAGGGATGTGCAGCGTTGCTACAATTGTGATGAACGTACCGATACTAGTAAACAACTTGCTTGAATTTCATTTTCATAGACAGCCAAAACCATCGCTTTTCGTCCGACACCAAATGCATTTCTGCAAATTACTAAACAGCTGCTGTTTCAAGTTTCAACCAGGCCATTTCTTTGCACCCGAACAACGGTGTTGAACTTTGGACGAGTCACACGGAAATGCATTTTCTCGGTTAGCTAAAGCCCTACAGCAATTTCTTCGCCGAAAACCACGTTGTTGAGCTATTCTAGAGAAATACAGAAGATGTCGTTTGTTCCTTTGTGTTGCTGCTATTGCTGTGTTGCTGTGTTACTCTTTAGCAACAAAGCAACTATACGCATTTCTTTTCAATTTTACTGCCGAACAATCGCATTTGTGATATGTATGACTGGTTTTACTACAAAAATGCTTTAAGTAATATACTTTGTCATCAGGTTTGAGGCCAAGTTTTCTAAATTGCGACTTGAGATTTTCAAGTGCACTTGAGTTAAGTGCTTACTTGAGACTAACTCAGCTTCTAGCGTGAAGCCAAGTAATAAAAACCACAAGTTTAATGGGTCTCATATTTACCAAGACGCGCAAAATTAGAGACACGTTATTCGTCTTCTTATAAAAAACGATTTCGAAAACATTTAAGAATGGCTGACTGTTAGGATCGTGAAATGCCGGTCAACGACCCATTTGGCAAATCGCTCATATTTTGCCCAAAGATACCCTCAGGTGACCTAATTCTA